GTCTTCGGCGGTAAGTGAGCGCCGACTTCGAGTCCTTATTGGGTGTGATACTGACGGGTGACTTAATCGGTGGCAACAGAGGGCTGGCCATCATCGACATCAGTGGCCTGTGGGGCGAGTGTTTGGTGGGACTTCGGGCGGCTTTGGTGGGCGTCCGGAACACCTTCTTCGTGGGCGACTTGACCTTCATTTCCTTGAATTGTCTCACTTTCGCCGCGCAGTCATTGATTTGCGACAATTGCTTCTTCAGCGCCAATAGATTACCGCAATTCACGAGCTTTTCCTTCACCTCCGCGGCCGACATCGCCTTCGCCGGTGACTTGGGATCAGATGTCGCGTCAATGGCCGCAGACTTGTCATCATCAGCGGTGACCAGGAAGTCGATAATGCGCTGACATTTGGGTGTCTTCTTGCGTTTGGTCGACGAGTGGACAGTTGTGTCGCCACTGGAGACGCCTTTCTTGCGTTTCGGTGTCTTCTTCTTAAGCTCATCGGTGGCGGAGTCGATGTCCACAGACTTCTTAAACGGTTTGTTAGCGGATCTCAACTGATGTTCACTGCGTTTCTGAGCGCTGAAGAAGTCGGTGACACGAGTCTGACTCGACATCGCGGTTGTGGTCCAACACGTGGTCAACAATAAAGTGGTCAATGAATGAGTGGTCAGTGAATGGGATAACAATACGAGTCAATAGTATGCGTGAAATGCAAACATGTTTTCAAACGACACACAAATCGTAGGCTTTCCTCCCGTTCCCCACAATAAGCCTTTCAATGCCTTTGTGTCACTTTTGGCGCTCAAATACACTGGGATTGACCATCAATTACGACATGTATTGACGCCAAAGGGGGCACTCATTGTGATTGGCCTTTGCAGTGCTGTTGTGTTTAATGAGGGGATAGCTTTGTGTGCAATACTAACGGCACGTATACTCTGGACATTGAAACACATGTAAAGTTAAAGGGAAAACTCACATGACTTTCATAATCAGTGTTTACTTTAAGTGTTAGTGTTTTTGGTCATAGCCTCCAGTAATTGATCCCAAGAGTTGGTGATCATTAAGATATGGATCAGTTGTCGAGTGTCTTAAATAATATAAGTAATGATGAGTTGGTCACAATGGAAAGGGAGGCCAAGGATTATGCCTTATCTCAAGGTAAGTGTGATTGTCTGTGTGCTTACCATTCATTATCTCAATGAGTGATACGCTTAAGACAGTGTATACAGTTATCACTTTATGTCTTAATCACTTTCCACTTAATCTAATAACAGGTATTGGCTTCAAACTCAAGACTAACCCATTGGACACCATATCCATGGCACCCATTACTCTATTTCCCTCCCCTTTAGGCTTCTTGGTGAAGGTCTGGCCGTTTGCGGAAGTCGGCCACTAGTTGCTCAACAGGGTATTCTAGCGTATGTTAGTGGTGAAGAACTCGCTCAGCAACCGCTTCTGGTATGTTCACCTGCTGAAATCGCGCAAATTGTTTGACATCTACTCTCATGTGGTGAGGGAAGGGTTGGCACAAGACGTGAGTTTAGGTCTGTTTAGAGCCGACTATATGGTGAACGAGAGGGAGGGCTCGTACGACATGAAACAAGTGGAGGTCAACAACATATCGTCCAGTTTTGCCGGTTTAGCGCCGGCTGTGCGTCGAGTGCACAGACATGTGCTCTCGAAATACACAGCTATCGAAGACCTGGACAATAGGTTACCCGAGAATCGATCGCCGGAACTGTTAGCCGATGGACTCGTTCAGGCGTTCAATGTGTATAACCGTCCAAAAGCTGCGGTTTTGGTGGTAATCGAGTCGATAGTCGTGAATGTTTTCGATCAAAGACTCATTGAGTTTTCGGTGTCGAAGTCGAGACCAGATATTAAGATAATTAGAAGAAGTTTCGAGGACTTGAGACACACCTCAAGACTCGGCTCTAATAAAGAGCTTATAGTCGATGGTAAGCACGAAGTGGCGGTCGTGTACTACCGGACGGCGTATGCGCCCGACAACTACGCCGGTCAAGAGGACTGGGATGTGAGGCTACTTCTGGAGCGCTCAAAGGCCATCAAATGCCCGTCCATTCAGTACCACATCACGGGTTGTAAGAAAATACAGCAAATTATCGCCAATCAGACAGTTCTCGAGAAGTTTATCGCAAATGAAAGCGATGTGAAAGACTTGATGCGAGTGTTCACAGGTCTGTGGGGTCTGGAGGTCGGGAAAAGCGGTGATAACGCCATCGATATGGCGGTCAGGGATCCCATGAGGTTTGTGCTGAAGCCGCAGCGCGAAGGCGGCGGTAATAACTACTTCGGCCAAGAGGTTGCCCTCAAACTCAATGAGATTAGGAATACGAAGGACAGGGAGTCTTATATACTGATGGAACTGATTAGGGCGCCGAAGCTACCGAACCACATACTGTTGGCTAATAAGAGTGTGGCCGACAATGACTACCAGCCCCGCGATATACTGTGCGAGTTTGGTGTGTTTGGCGCTGTTATGGGGAATGGGAGTCATATTATGCATAATACCGATGCCGGACATCTGATTAGGTCTAAGCCCTACGGGACTAATGAGGGCGGAGTGGCCGCGGGGTTCGGAGCACTCGACTCGCCATTCCTTTATTGATCTCTTTTTGCAATTTGTAGTCATTTTAGGGGTAATTATATTCATTTGCAAAGTTTATACAGATTTTATATTTATATGTATTTTTATGAATGTTTTTTAAATGTGAAAATTTGTTATTTGATTGAATAGTACCGGTATATTATATGAACTGTTATTTAATTTTTATGGTTTACTTAATGTTAGGAAATTAGGCTAAAATTTTTTATAGATTAATGCGAATAATGTTAATATAATGTTAATAAACGGAAAATCAATGCATTTAATAGTATGTGTTTATATAAATTGTTTTATACAGTGATAGCTCCGGTATAATAATGTTTTAAATTTGATTAAACTTTTTGAATGCTTTAGAAATGTGAAGCAAATAAACTTCAATTACGAGTCACTATACCCGGGGTAGGACTGTATGATCAAAATGTAGTTTTTGCGATCATTTTGATGATAGGACTCGGAGCTGCAAATTGTTTTCAATGAATGATAAGTCAATTCTTGTTGTTTTTTGCAGGAATCGATTGAATCAAATTAAGAGTTAAATTATAGGCTATCAGTGAGTGTTTATTTGTCGATATGTCGGCGCTATAAGTGTGTAGAGAAACGGGTGAAACCATTTGTACGCTAAGTATAGACAGCGATATGAAAGTAATATAATGTCTGAAAAACAAGAATTTGTTTTATATCTGCTTTAAAATTGCAGACAAATTGTGTTTTGCCTTCAAATGTCTATTATATTTAGGAATCGCTTCACACTATCGCTCGACTGGAGTAATGATCAGCCCTTTGCTACACAAAAAGGCTATGATTTGCTATTAAATTGCTTGATGTTTGATGTTTTTAAGAAATATTACTTTTTGTTTGAGGGAATGGTAGCCGTTTTTGGGTGTTGAGAAAACTGTTTTTTATTTGATGCCAAAAATTGATGAAATTATCGGTTAATAATTGCGAGTAATTTGTAATTTTGTTTCACTTTTTTTTCGCTCATTAAATATAAGCCGCAATTAGTCGCTATGATATGTTATGCCGTTTTTCATACACTTTAGCTATAATTTCGTGAAATTAATAATTTATTTACAGAATTAGTGATTACTTTAATTACAGAGGATTTTTGCACTCGTTTTTATTAATTATTATCAAAACATTTTTTTCGAGTGGTTTTGATTATATTTTTATTTAATCACGTTATCCACTGGCGCTATAGCCTTACATGTATGTCCAGTCAGTACCCTTAGGTGTTCTCTCTCTCTCTCTCTCTCTCTCTCTCTCTCTCTCTCCACTCAAGTCTTGGGAGCCTTTCGTATCGGAGTCCGCGACTCAAAGATTTACTCAATTTTATGATAATTATTGTTTCTCTCTCTCTCTCTCTCTCTCTCTCTCTCTCTCTCATTGTATTAATTTTTTGGGCAAAAAATACATTTTCCCTAAAAAGCCTATTTAATAAAACTATATAATTATGATATTTTCTCAGTGTATATAAGCGACTAAATAACTAATTAGTGTTTAACGTCTTAATAATTATAGACTCCGGTGTCAAACAAGTGCACTAATGCCCATAAATAGCCCTTCTCATATTAGTTATTAATAACCAGGGTTTGTGTGTATATTTCCACACTTATTAACTAATTAACGCAAATTTTTGTTTTAATTTTTATGTTTCAGGTTTAGGCGCTCATTGTGTTATTTTTTGATTTATTTATGAATTTCTAATGAATTAAACCAACAGTTTATCAGATTTTGAGTTAAGATAAATGTTTTTATTATATATTTTTTTGCGGAGCCTTTAGTTTTTTGAGCTCATAAGCGGTGAGTGAGTATCAAAGTAGTGGTCTTTTCGGCTCTCTCTCTCTCTCTCTCTCTCTCTCTCTCTCCAATCGCTCACTCGTGCACTCAATCTATGGAAAAAGCGTTGAAATAATGATTTGGTTGTCGTTTCTCTATATGAGCCTAATGTTGGACTCCGAGCCTAAGATCCCTTTCCCTTCAATACATTATGACCACAGATTAACTACACTTTTCCTCAGCGCCTAATGACAGACAAAAAAGCAGTTATTTTCTCAATAACTCGCAAACCTTTCGCTCGTTTTCTCGACTGGACTTCACTTCGCACACCATATGAGCGATAAATACATACCAATCGCGATATGAATAACAAAAACATCGTTGAAATGTACAGTGAGTCTCAAAGTTTTTATAACAATAATTATCATAAAATTGAGTAAATCTTTGAGTCGCGGACTCCGATACGAAAGGCTCCCAAGACTTGAGTGGAGAGAGAGAGAGAGAGAGAGAGAGCTTTAACTTCAAAGTCGCGGCGATTATCTGTACGCCTAAGACAAACGCTGCCAACAAATGAGTGGTAATAAAAATATGAAGAAAAGTGTTTTATCGTGTCTTTGAGGTCGAGATTAGGCCCTAAACTAGTAATTATCGGTTCGGCCGGAGATTTGGGTGAATAGAGGAGACAAATGTGGCGTTCATTTGGCTGTCGAGTAATAATTGCTACTTAAATACTTATTAGCTATTAATTTGCATTTTATCTCTTTTGGGTGTCTTTTTCGAGAGATTTTTGTTTTTAGATTTTAATTATTAACTGCAAATCGAGAGTGACTTTTGTGACTATAAATTGTAATTGAATTCATCCACAAAAACGATGAAATGCGGGGAAAAGTGCTGAACAATGCTATCGTAAAAATAAATACATTTTATGGAAATTTGATTTTTAGAGAGTGGAGAGAGAGACAGAGAGAGAGAGAGAGAGAGAGAGAGAGAGAGAGAGAGAGTAGGCTTTTTTGTTTGGACGCAAAAAAAACTCAATACAAGTATTAAGTAGTTTTGATATATTCTCGTTGGAAATGGGGCTGAAATTCCTAATGTTATAGAAAATACTGTATAATAGTGTACATGAAAACTGTATAATAATTTTTTTGAGGGATGAATCGCTATATAAAGTTAGTTATTATGGAAATGAAGATACGATTTCCACTCTCTCTATGTGTATGGATGTGTCGGCGACGGCACTGGTATGCTATGGCATGGATTGGTATGGGGTTTGCAGTGCATGGGTGGGGACGGGTTTGTGTGCCTTACATTAGGCGATCATATTTCAAAAGTATAAATTGAATGATGTTATTGTGATGAGTGCACACAATATCTATTGATATAAGTTATGGATACAGTTAATACACTAACTGATATGCCCTAGCTAAGTATTTGCTCCCATGTATGATATACTGTACTGTGGAGTAGAATGGGGCTTAGAGATTGTCATTTTCAATGTCTTTAGAAGTTTTTTTGTGGGGAAATCTATTTATGCGCTCATATTAGAGACTAAACTTGGAAATTGTTGTCAAATACTTTTAGCGATCACTGCGATAGGCGTACATTATTACCAATATAGTGAGACGACTACTCAAAATACATTAGAGTCATCATAAATCTGATGTGTGGTCACCCATACATCCGGATCTGTGTTAACCAACGAACTTCCAATATTTTGGTGTAATTTTTAGCTACGAATCCAAGAGTTTTTTCGGCGACTAAAGAGACGGTCGCTGTGTCTCTGATGCTAACGATTACATCGACCGCACCATTGACTGCAAGATTGGACGAGTAGTTGAGAAATCACTTCTTAAACGATATGCGAGTCTAAGGACTTGTGAAACACGACTCTCGCTCTCTCTCTCTCTCTCTACGAGCGAAAGTGTATAACAAAATACTTTTCTGACACCACTTTCGGGCTTTAAATTGCTTTTCTAGTGTCAACTCATATAATG